AGAACCCGAAAGTGCTCCAATAACAAAAACAATGCTCTTAGAACAGAAACACAATGTGCTAAAACAAGACAGCCCCAGCCAGAGATGTCCTAAGAACATTCCGCGCGGAGCACAACAGGTTCTTCGAACATGAGTTGGTGGGCCGATTGGCGAGCCAGGACGCTTCGCCACTGCTTGAACAAGGGGAGAAAAGGGAGGGGGACGGCTTCTTAGAAGGCGGCTGCCTCTTAGAAGGCGCCAGCCGCCCTTCTATGAAGCCAGGGGCGCGCCGCTTCACCCCAGCAGCTCCTTAGAAGCACGGAACTGCTCCTCAGAAGCAAAAGCGGCTCTTTAGTAGAAATCCAGCCACCTCCTCCTTGGGGGCACGCCGGGCACTGCCTCTGAGAAGCCGCAGCGAGCTCCTAAGAAGGGGCGCCCACGCCCTCTGAGAAGGGGGGGTGCTTCTAGGAAGCCTTCCCCCCTCCCCCTACCCCCTCTGCGCGTGGCCGACACGCGCTCATCCATATCTCCGCCAAGCGGGCGGTGCCACGACCTGCCCCGAGAAGATCCGATGTTGTGAAGACATGGCTACATCGCGAACGCTCACGGCCAACGCGCTATACCCTATCGTTCTGCGCCATGTTTCGAGCCTGATGGATCCGTGAGGGTGCTGGTGCCCGAAACATAACAAAATTGCCCGTTGCAGCCAAAATCGAAACGCAATAATCCCAGGGCGGGAGTGATGCTGCAATCGGTGCTTGTACGCTGCAATACACGACGAACCGACCGACGCTCGGGCAAACGCCAACATGAAACATAAATCCGTGGATCTGGCGAGCGGGCGCCAGATCCATGGATCGGGGTAAATACCCTCGAAGTGCCCTCCAAAACTACCCCCCTGCTCCCCGAGATTCCGCTGATCATCCTGGTTGCCTGTGTTGTTTCATTACATGTGTCTATTCGTTCCTTTTCCCATCTACTCTCATGGGCAACGTCTCTGAACGGGCCAGGACGCTTCGCCACTGCTTGACCCTGCGGCCTCCGCGTCCCCCTCCTCGGCCCCTTCCTCGGCCGCGCGCCCCCGGCTGCGGCTGCGCTCGCGGCCGCCGCCGCCCATGGCTGCGGGCGCCGCGCGGCAGGGGGCCGCGCGGGCCCGGGGCGGCGCAGGCCCCGGGCGGCCGGCGGCGCCCTTTCGGCTCAAAAGGGCGCAGTGCCGCGGAGGCACTGCCAGGAGAGGGGGGGGGGGGCAGGAGAAGAGGAGAGGAGGAGGGAAGGATGGGATGAGGAGGAGGGGGAGGAGGAGGAGGGGGAGGGGAGGAGGAGGAGGAGGGGGAGGAGGAGAGATAGGGGGAGAGAGGGAGGAGGAGGAGGAGGAGGAGGAGGAGCAAGGAGGAGCAAGGAGGAGGAAAAAGGAGGAAGGAGGAAGAGGAGGAGGAGGGAGGAGGAAGGAGGGGAGAGGAAGGGGGGACTACCAGAAGGAGCGCTGAACAAGCAGCCCAGCCCCTTTTTGGCCCCAGGAGAGTTTCGGGTGCACGAGGAGCGATAGAGCGGCAGACTGCACCCCTGGGCTCGGGCGCGCATGTTGACAGCCCGTCCTCCGGGGTAGGGGGAGGGGGAAAGCTTCTTAGAGCACAGACCCCCTCGCGTCGTGAAAAATCACGATGGGAGGTTTTTCGTTATGTTCCGCCTCTGGGTGCCCTTACTGGGCCTGGGAACCGTCAAAAGACGACTCAGGATGAAGAACCGGTCCCGGGGAAGGGGTCCAGACCTCTGGGAGTCGACGTTGTCAAAGAAAAAAGACGTCAGGGGTCTGGGACCGCTGAATAAGGAACCCAGCAGCCTCTTTTCGGCCCCAAAAGCGCCCAGGTGCACGAGGAGCGATAGAGGAATAGCCAGGGAAGAGCTTAGGAAACAGCGGGCCCCTTCCGAACCCAAAGCGGTCCTCATTGCAGCGCCTTGGCTGTAAGGAACCGATTACCGAATCGATTTACCCAGGATGTTGTTTGGTTTCGTCGGTCCTGCGGAACATACGGAGCATGCTCTGTAGGCCAACGGAGAATTCTGCGCATTATGATAAGCCCGACAAGCAGCTTCATTTTGGGTACATCAAATGTACAATCCTCATGAATATTCACGCTTGTCGGCGCGCACAGTTTGAGCAGGGACTGACCGTCCGGGCATTCCTATAGGCCTACCACGAAATTCTCATACAACCCCACAATGTTCCAATAACGAAAACAATGATCTTAGAACATCAACCCGATGTGTCAAAGCAAGACAGGCTCAGCCAGAAATGTTCTAAGAACATTCCGCGCGGAGCACAACAGGTTCTTCGAACATTCTTTCGTGGGCCCAAAGGCGAGCCAGGACGCTTCGCCACTGCTTGAACAAGGGAAAAGGGCGGGGGGACGGTTTCTTAGAAGGCGGCTGCCTCTTAGAAGGCGCCGGCCACCCTTGTATGAAGCCAGGGGCGCGCTGCTTCGTAGAAGCACCCCAGCAATTCCTTAGAAGCACGGAACTGTCCCTCAGAAGCAGAGGCAACTCCTTAGAAATAAGCCACCTCCTTCTTAGAGGCACGCCGGGCACTGCCTCTGAGAAGCCGCAGCGAGCTCCTAAGAAGGGGCGCCCACGCCCTCTGAGAAGGGGGGGTGCTTCTAGGAAGCCTTCCCCCCTCCCCCTACCCCCTCTGCGCGTGGCCGACACGCGCTCATCCATATCTCCACCAAGCGGGCGGTGCCACGACCTGCCCCGAGAAGATCCGATGTGGTGAAGACATGGCTACATCGCGAACGCTCACGGCCAACGCGCTATACCCGATCGTTCTGCGCCATGTTTCGAGCCTGATGGATCCGTGAGGGTGCTGGTGCCCGAAACATAACAAAATTGCCCGTTGCAGCCAAAATCGAAACGCAAGAATCCCAGGGCGGGAGTGATGCTGCAATCGGTGCTTGTACGCTGCAATACACGACGAACCGACCGACGCTCGGGCAAACGCCAACATGAAACATAAATCCGTGGATCTGGCGAGCGGGCGCCAGATCCATGGATCGGGGTAAATACCCTCGAAGTGCCCTCCAAAACTACCCCCCTGCTCCCCGAGATTCCGCTGATCATCCTAGTTGCCTGTGTTGTTTCATTACATGTGTCTATTCGTTATTTTCCCATCTACTCTCATGGGCAACGTCTCTGAACGGGCTGGTGGAAATACGCAAAGCGTGAAGAATGACGCCGACTTCTGCCGTGCTTTGACGTAATATTGATAAGCCGTGATCTCGAAACAAGTGTGTCCTCGAAGGCCAAGCCTTTGGCTGTGAGCGAATAATCAAGCGGATGGCTGTATATTGCCCCCTCCCCACCCTACCTCAACAACCTCCCCACACACTCACACACTGGATGCATCATGCATGAACTTTCTGACGGGACGCAACAAAATACCAATACCGCTGCTCCCTGGACTTCTCGGAGAATACCTTTTGACTACAATTTCGAGGCGAAGCCGGCAGTGGGCTGGATCGAATCGCGAAGTCGGATCGGATCGCCAGCGAATCGTCGCGACTCGACTCGACATCGCATCGTCGCGCCCAGTCCTGACTGGCCCCAGCCGATGCCAGCAAACCGGGCCGAAGCGGATCGAAGCGCACTCGCGGCCCCACCTGGCGAGGCAGCTCGCATCGGAGTGGATCGTAGGGCACCTCCCACCTTCCCGTCGCAGGCCGGCGCGCGCGTCGCCCTCCGCTCCCGAGGCCACGATCCAGGGTGAAAATTATCTAGGCGAGAGACCCAGGCACTTTTTTGATCGGCGGGGCGAGCGCGAACCTCTTCCGCTAAAAGCTAGGCGGGCTACGCACAGCTTTAATTAGGGAGACAGGGTACAAGCCAAAGACACAGGCACGTGCAAGCGCGAGCACGGGAAGGAAGGTGGGAAGAGGGCGGGGGCAACGACACGTGCAGGGCGTGTGTCGACAGGGGCGGGGGGTGACGCAGCGTGGGCGCGCTTCCACTGGGGCCTTCAGCGGGGTCCCCTACGGGGTCACGAGACGTATGAGGGGAACGTGTGAGGGGTGAGTCGAAATGTGCGGGATGACGCCACGCGGGCACTGCCACTGGGGCCATCGGAAGGGCTCCCAGTGGGGCCACAAAACGTGTGAAGTGTGTGTGTGTGTGTGTGTGCCGAAATGGGCGGGTCGGCGCCGTGCGGGCGCTGCCACTGGGGCCTTGGGTGGAGCCCCCTATGGGGTCACGAAGCGTGTGAGGGGTGTACCGGAATGGACATGCGCACGGCAGAAGCAGGGATGAGAGGAGGCACGGCAGAAGCAGGGATGAGAGGAGGGAGGGAGCGGGGAGGAGGAGAGGAGAGGAGAGGATATGACAGGAGAGGAGAAGACGCAGGGCACTGCTGATTCAAAACGAGGACCCCGCACCCAAAGCTGGGAGAAACAATTGGCCCGCCCTACCGAGGTCACGATGTAAGATGCCGTGGGTCCGCATCCCAGGCTTCCAAGACGGCAAGCAAGCAACCAAGGCCGCCAAGATGACCAACGATGCCTCGTACGACCCAAGTGTCCCAAGACGGCCCAAGAGGCCCCCAGGAGTGCCCCAAGATCGCCGAAGAATGTCCCACGATAGCCCAAGACGGCGTCAATACGGCTCCCAAACACTCCCTTATACTGCAAAGTGGGTCCCCAAACGGCCCCAGTGAGCCACAGGACGGCTTAAGCGACCGTCCCGAAAGGGCCCCCCGATGGACTCCCAATACTGCCCCATAGGAGGCCCAGACAGCCCAAAGACGGCCTAAATGAGCCAAATTAGAGCTTGAAGACGAAAGGTGTCATGTGTGACGGTCTTCCTCTTCCTCCTTCTCTTCCTGCTCATCCTCCTCGTCCTTCTAGTCATCATCGTCCTCATCATCCTCAGTAGCTTCATATGGCTCCGTCACGCGTGACCCCACGAGCAGCCGCCACCCAGTAGGCTGTGCTGGTACGTTGGCGAGACTTGCCGCGGGCATCTTCAGTGAGACGGACCTCGCTCAAACTCATGCTGCTTTGTGACCTAAGGCGACAAGATATGAAGGTACACCTCGGAACCAATGCGACTCCGACCATGCAGGTCCACAGACCCTCACCTGTCCAGAAGATACTCGCCGTGGTAATACAAAAAACACTTGAACGACAAGAAGAAACGAGCCTTGCGCGAGATGGTACAGCGACCTTGCGCACGACTCTACGCGGAACGCTTCCGCGCGACTGTCCGTGCAGTCCACCCCGTGGTTCTGCGTTGCTCACTTGTGGCACGGGAGGGCGAACTGCAACGTCAGTGGTGCGTGCTGGGCTGACTCTGGACGGCCCCTCTTCCCGCTCCCCCCTGCCCGCGACTCTGACGAAGGCGACGGCGACGGCGGCGAACGTAGCGATGGCGGCTCCGACGGCGACGACTCCGACGACGACTCTCTCCCGATCCTGCCTCCTCCTGCCACCTGCGCCGCTCCTGCTGCCTCAAATCCCCCTCCAAACCCCCCTTTGACGACTCTTGGCGACGGCGACGGCAACGAAGACGACAGCGGCAACGACGGAGGCAGAAGCAGCAGCAGCAGAGACGACGACGTCGAGACGACGACGACACGACCTCGGCGGTGACCTCGGCGTCGGCGGCGACGGCTCCCCTCAGATCCGACGTTGCCAAACAAATGAAGTATCGCAAAGAGCACGACTGGAGCCCTAGACCCCATCCTGAAGCATCGTCTTCGAGCTGCATCGATCCGCGACGGTCCAGAGAGCCCGAAACCTAGCGAGGATGCCCAGCGTGAAGCACTGGCGACGCCAACATCTTCTGCGTCAGATGCTTCTAGCTGCATCGATCCGTGATGGTTCAGAGCTCTGTGGGCCTCGGAAACGGCAGGGCCGTTTTTTCACCGTTTCCAAAAAAATGTCCCTTGAAAATGGAAACGGCAACAAAAACGGCGACGGGAAACGGCAAACAAAAACGGCTCCAGGATCGGAACTGGAGCCGGAACCTGTCAAACAACGGCAAAACGGAACCGGTCAAAAAACGGCGTCGGGACCGGCAACAAAAACGGCAAAACGGAACCGGTAACAAAAACGGCCCTGTCGTTTCCAGGGCCCACTAAGGTTCCCCTGACCTTCCAGAGAGCTATTTTTTAGCACTGGAGACCTAAAAACCTAAAAAGCTAAACGAACCAGCCTTAAACCAAGACGTAGAATAGCTCTGGGATAGGTTTTTAGGTCGGGTGCTATTTTTCAGCCCTCCTGGAAGGTCAGGGTCAGAGGGCCCGAGACCTGGCCAAAACGCCCCGCGCGAAACACCTGCGGCGCCAGGACCTCCAGGGCCTTCGGTGGCAAGCCATGGGAGCCTCCCATACCATCTTGTCGGCCCTTGCGAATCGACGCTGGTCGACGCCAGATGGACTCAAATCGACGCCAATCGACGCTCGCCGACAATACATCGGCGCTATCTCATCGACTCCCAGGCGCCAATCGACGCCAATCGACGCTAAAGACGGAACTGCGAGAGTACACAAGGCTCCCATGATTTGCTATCGAATTTTGTTTCATGACGTCGACCCCCAGAATTCTCGACCCACTCCCCGGGACCCGTTTCTCACCCGGGGACGTTTTGCTGACAGTCCCGACGCCAGGCGAGGGCCCCCAAAGAGCCGAACACAGCGAACCACCTCCCGTCGTGAGTACTTCACGACGCGAGGAGGGCGCAACAACCTAGCGAAACCGCCCCGCGTGCAACCTCTGCGACGCCAGGACTGAAGGGGCCCTGGGACACACCAAGGAAATACACACAAAGGAAAAGACTCCCCATAGTTTCCCATATGTTCTGGGTGTCTGTCTTCCCCACCACTTCCAATATTTTCGCACATCTTCCTGGGAATCGACGATGAATTGTGTCTGTGTGTTTCTTCCCCTCCTGAAGGGCCCCGCAGGCCGACGACGACTGCCCCCCCCCACCGCCCGGCGCTCCCGCGCTGCCGGGCGCGTCGGCGGAGGCGGAGGCGGAGCCGCCGTGGCCGCCTGGCATGCGGGGGCCGGTGAAGGGGGGGAGGAGGAGGCTGGGAGCAGGAGGAGCAGGTTGGGCGCATGAGGATGAGGGGGAGGAAGAGGAGGAGGAGGAGGGGGAGGAGGGGGAGGAGGAGCAGGAGGGGGAGGAGGAGGGGGAGGAGGAGGAGCAGGAGGAGGAGGGAGCAGGAGGAGGAGTTGAGGCCGCCCCCCGCGGCGCGCCCACGGGGATCGGCGGCACACCGCCGATAGATCGGCGACGGGCCCCCGCGGCAGCGAGGGCGCGCGGGTCTGGGCGGGGTGGGCTCTCGCGGGCCCAGTGGCCATCGCTCGGACGTCCATTCCCTGTGTTTTTTTTAGGTTTCGTGCGTGGTTTTTTTCGCCCAATGATCAAGGATGCTTCTCAATGGTCCTCGCCGCAGGAAAAATGCATACGTCGGAGCGATGCCAAGCCCCTCGTCGGCGAGGAGGGGGCCACGGGGGGGAGGGGGCGGGTCGCCGCGCCCTCCCCTGGGCCTGCCTGTGCGGCCCCCGCTCCTGCAGCCCTCGCTGCCCCCTCTAATCACCCGCGGGCGTGCAACCCAGACCCCCTCGAGCTGATGGGGGACAAAAATCACGACGGGAGCCCTGGGGGCCTCCTCCTCCCCCTCCTTCTCCCCCTCCTTCTCCTCCTCCTCCCCCTCCTCCTCCTCCTCCTCCTCCTCCTCCTCCTCCCCCTCCTCCTCCTCCTCCTCCTCCTCCAACTCCTCCTCCTCCTCCTCCTCCTCGTCCTCCTCCTCGACCTCCCTCGCCCCTCCCACTTCTGGTGGTGGTGGAGAACGAGCCCGTCCGCAAGAGAAGCACACGGCGGTCGAGCAGCGGCGGGGCGCGCCGGGGCACAGCAGGGCCTGCTTTCCGGCCTCGGGGGGCCCCTGCCGGCCCCCGGGACCGTCAGGAAACGACTCAGGACGAGAAACCCAGACCCCCGTCGGGCACTGAAAAAATCATGACGGACAGTTTTTCCTAATTTTCGGCCTTTGGAGGCCCTAACCGGCCCTCGGGACCGTCAAAAAACGACTCAGGATGAAAAACGGGTCCCGGGGAATGGGTCGAGATCTCTGGGGGTCGACGTCATGAAAAAATCATGACGTCGGGGGTCTGGAAACGGGGCTCCCCTGGGCCTGATCCCCTCCTGACGCTGCCCCTGATGCTCCAGCCTGGGGGATGGGGGCCCAGACCCCAGGCGTCAGGATGTTTGCACAACGTCGGGCCCCAGAAGTCACGAAACGACGGGACGGGGACGTTGCCCACACTGCCCATCCATCCACGACTGGACGGGCGCACGGCCTGCCTGACTTAGAAGCCGCCCCTTCGCGCGACAATGCCTGCCAGCGCGAGGGCCGCAGGGAGGAGGGGGGCAAGCGACAGGCAGAGAAGGAAGAGCAAGAGGAGGGGGGGCAGGAGGGGGAACGCCGAGTGGAAGGAGCCCCGAGGAGGGGAGCCAAGGGGGAGGGACGGGGAGAGGGAGGCCAAAAGCTGGAGGGAGGGCGAACGCGAGAGGACGACCAGGAGTCGGTGCGCCCCACCCTGACCCAGAACTCCGGCGTCATGATCTCTGTCTTCACGCCGACCCCAGAGGCCTCGACCCCTTCCCCTCCTCCTCCTCCTCCTCCTCCTCCTCCTCCTCCTCCTCCTCCTCCTCTCTCCCTCCTCCCCCTCCTCCTCCCCTCCTCCTCCTCCTCCTCCCCTCCTCCTCCTCATCCTCTCCTCCTCTCCTCCTCTCCTCCTCCTCCTCCTCCTCCTCCTCCTCCTCCTCCTCCTCCTCCTCCTCCTCCTCCTCCCCTCGGGACCGGCTGCGGCCGGGAAGGGCCCCCGGCGGCCGAAGACACATAGGGGCCTCGTAGAAAATGCGTCCGAGCAGATGGGGTCGGAGGATCGACCGCACCGCCAATACACCGACGATGCATCGGCAATGCACCGGCGATGCACCGGCGATGCACCGGCGATGCATCGGCGATGCACCGGCGATGCATCGGCGACATCTGCGTGAAGAAAAAAGGGGGCTCCGCATCGAGCCGCATCGCCGACGAATCGGCGGTGCGGCGCGACCCTCCGACCCCACCTACTCGGACCCCATGGAGGAGGCCTGGAAGATGGCGACAGTGTCTCGTCGTGATTTTTGCCATGGCTCGAGTGGATCTTGGGAGCCCGTCTCCCCCGAAGCAGGAGCAGAGGAGGAGGAGGAGGAGGATGAGGAGGATGGGAGGAGGAGGAGGAAGAAGGGTAGGATAGGGGGAGAAGGCGGAGGTAGGAGGGAGGAGGGAGGAAGGGGAGGGAGGAGGGAGGAGGGAGGGGAGGGAGAGGGGAGGGGGAGTAGGAGTAGGAGGGAGGAGGAGGAGGAGGAGGGAGGAGGGAGGAGGGAGGGAGGAGGGAGAGGAGGAGGAGGAGGGAGGAGGGAGGATGAGGAGGCGGAGGGAGGAGGGAGGAGGAGGAGTGAGGACGGAGGAGGGAGGAGGAGGAGGGGGAAAAGGAGGAGGAGGAGAGGAGAGGAGGGGAGTCAGGAGAGGAGGAGGAGGAGAGGAGGAGGAGGAGGAGGAGTAGGGGAGGGAGGGAGGGAGGAGGGAGGGAGAAAGGGTAGGGAGGGGGGGGCGGAGGGAGGCGGGAGGGAGTGAGGGAAGGGAAGGGAGGGAGGAGGGGGGAGGGAGGGAGGAGGGTGGAAGGAGGAGAGGAGGAGCAGGGAGGAGGAGGAGGGAGGAGAGGAGGAGGAGGAGAAGGAGGAGGAGGAGGAGGAGGAGGAGGAGGAGGAGGAGGGAGGAGGGGCTAGCCGCGGACAGGGCGTCGGCGGCGGTGCTGGGCGAGGGCTGCGGGGCCCAGCGCGACGGCAGAGGCAAGATCTCGGAGGCCTCCGGGTGGCTCCTCGAGAGCGCATCGGGGCATCCCTGCGACCTGGGCGATGCAACCTTTTCGCGACGGGCGTTTTCGCCCAGTTGTGGGCGTTGTGCTGAAGGGGGGGGGGGGAGGGGGAAAGGTGCACTCCTCAGGCCCCCC